AATATGATGTTCAAAGTACTTAAAAAATAATGATAAGAAGTTTGAATCATTATTGAAAGAATAATCATGAAGTTTACGTTTAGCGGGAATTGACTTTTAGGTCAAATTTAGTCTCGAATGCATCTAAACTTGCAAATGGTGATTAGGTAAGTTTCTAAAAACTTTTAGGTCAAGATAAAACTACCATTGAATCCGAAAGGTCAAGAAACCTTAAGAAAAGTAATATGGGGTGTATAAAAAACTTGAAAGTATCTGGAGTTAAAATGCATTTTGGAGAGAATTCGGGTAAAAAAGAATTTGACACTACTTCAGCATTTGATCCATAATTTTTTATCCCGATGTCCAATTGATCTGATTTTTAGACAATAGAAAATAGATTTTAAGAGTTACAAAAGTGCATTTTCATAAAAAATTCCTAATTGACTTCTAACCATAGTTGTCAAATCGCGTATCGAAAGGTGTATCATTTTTTAAAAAGTGTATCGTGTATCGTAAGATATAGTACAATTTTAAATAATTAATAATAAAATATATGTTTACAAATTTTTGGATGTCTAGATGTAATTTATTAACGGATATAAGGGTTATACATGTATAAACTTTAGGGGGTCTGAGTGATTAAGTGACAAACTCTAAAGGGTCTAGGTGTAATTCTACCTATTTTAAAACATAGTGCTGGATCAAAAAAAAACGAAAGAGGGAAAGATCGCGAGAGCAATCGAGAGGCAGAGAGAGAAAGATCGAGAGACAGAGAGAGAAAGATTGTGAGAGCGATTGTGAGACAGAAGAATCATGAGATTGAGCGATTGAGAGACAGAGTGTCTCTCTGCTTCAATGGTCTTGGATGATCTATTTCTTCGATGGGTTTCCAGTTTTCTAGGGTTTCTTACAATGGACCTCTGTGAGAAAGAAAAAGAAGTGTTTTCTAAAATCTGAAGAAAATCAACATAGGGTTTCGTCTGAAATTTATAAGTTAGTGTTGTTATTTTTGCCAATTTCAAAAATTTGTTTACTTTGTTTTTGCTTGAATTTTTTTGTTGATTTACCGTGCGTTCTAATCAAAAAAAAAAACAGAGACTTCGCTTATCGTTCGTATCGACTGATACGTATCGTTTCGTAAAAACATATTGTGTATCGGACGATACTATGTAAAAACGATACAAAACTCTAATTCGTATCGTTTTATCTCTGTATCGTGACGTAGCGTACGATACGTATCACATATTGTACAATACTAACAACTATGCTCCTAACTAAGTCAAAATTACCTTGGAAGTTCAGGTAGAAACAGGATCACGTTCGAACGTGAATTTGATGTCAGAACATGAGTTCACAACTTGACAACAATCAGGCTGCACCACCTAAAACATTTTTAACCCTATACATACCCTAAAGACTTCCCTTAGGTCAGTATTCAGTAGCCTTTAGCCTTAGAAAAGCCTAGAGAACTCTAGAGGAAGAAAAAGAGGGAGAAGGAGAAGGACTTTCACATTGAGAACAAATTAAACACGCTAGGATTTAACATCAAATATCAGATTAAAGGTAAGGGATTCTTCTTGAGTTCTTTCATTGAGACTTAAGGTAGTATATATGTATGTTTTCAATCTTTTTGATAATTATAAGATAGATAAACGTTTATTCTTGATTTCTTTCCAATTGAGAAGTTGTTTTACACAAAATACATGTTTCATATTCAAGAAAATTCTTGTTCTTGATTTTCAAAACCCTAATTTTGCTAAGTACATACTTTTTGCAAGAAATACATTGATTCTTGGTTGATAAATTCCAATTCTAGTCATATTTATATCCAAATACTTGTAGTATCTTCAAGAAATTGAGATTTTTGACAAAACCCTAGAATTTTGATATTGTAATTATGAAGTTTTTCTTAGTATGATCTTTTGCATATTTTAACTCCATTATTATCGTATCTGGAGAATTGTGAAAGTTGTGATATACCAATCTTGATGGAAATTTGTAATTTGTTAAGTATGTGGTTTTTGATAAAGTTGTGATTTTTATCTCTTGTACGGTTTGGGTGTGGCGGATTTGAATTGCCTTCGAAAGTAGCCATAGAGTGTTAGAAGTTAGTCTATCTCAGTAGAAGTAAGATAGTTGTCTAACACTTGTAGTCGGTTTGTTTACTTGAAAGGTCAACAACTATTGTTCACGTAGGTTCGAAATTGAGGGATAGTATACCTTTCTTGATAAGGATTCATCAATGCCATGTGAAACGACATACGCCCTTCCTAAAATAGTTTTGTGATGTGGCCTTATGGGGAATGATTGAGATGGTTGGGTTTGTGTTGGGTGAAAAAAGAGGATCGTTGTGTAAATTCCTGAAAAACAACCAACCTATATGAGACAAATGAGATTACGTTGTTGAATTATTTGTTGATTATTTTGACTCCTTAATGTTTATTCCTATTGTTGGGTTGCTATAATCCGTAAACTTAAGATCATTATAAAACAATCAAAAATGTATATATGTTATTTTCCAAAAAAACTTACTTTCTTTATATTGTTTTAAAGCCTTCTCTAAATTTGGGAGAAATTTTTTACGGCCATTTTGCTCACCCCTTACAATAACACATTTACAGATTTTGGCATAAAAGAGAATATCGATGTGGATGAGCAAGTTGACTACAAGGCAATGGAGAATTAAGATGTGGATCTCGTCTCGGAGGAGTAGAGATATTTTTTTATTTACTAGAGTTTGAGAGAATTTTATGAAAAAATGTTTTAGTTCGATTTAATTATTCCGCCGCTAAATGCATTTTAGTTTTGAGTTGTAAGTTGAAAAAGTTATATTATTTTATTGACTTTAATATTTATTCCTTATCGAATGGATGAATGGTTTAGTATTTAAATGATTATTTTTAGTTGCTCTCATAAGTAAATGGTTTATAGATAATAATGCCTTTTAGAGTGTATTTTAGGACATTACAGATCTGGCCTGTGGAAGTGGAGGGAGGCTTAGATCTATTTAGATTTGTACTCCAGGAGGTAAGTTACTGAACTCTTCTCTTTCAATTTTTATGTGTGTTATATCTGTGTTTTTTTTTCTCTCTTTTGTTACGATGTTTCCCAGATTTTGCACCTTTTCTCTATCTATCCCTTATTTTATTTTTTTTGGGCTTGGAGGAGCTATGATTTCTAAAGAGAATATCAAATTTGTGATGAGTACGTGTTTGGCGTGGAGCCACTGTTTCAACCAAAACGGTCCGAAACAGTAATGTTTCGCTCGAAACTCTAGAATTTTAGGATTCCACCCTTACTTTGTGTTGGTGTGTCGAAAATGCAGAACGTTCTGACACGAGATTTCAATCCCCCCCGCAAAAAAAAACCACCCCTAACCCACAAAGAAGAAAACCAATCAAGTGATCTTCCTCCCTTCTCCACTTCCTTCCCACAAAAAAAAAAGTCTCATTATTTTTTCAATCTTCATAGCAATTTTCCCTAGCATCTTAAATAAAGAAAATAAAAATAGGTGGGAGTGCTAGCTAAGACTGGCTACACTAAAGTTAACCTACCTCCCCTAAAAATAAAAGATATCTTCCAATCATCTAATATTTTTCTTATTCTTTCCATAACTAGACCCTAAAAAAAAGTTTACTAATATGTTGCAATGCCGTTTTCATTGATGCAGTGCTCATCTCTAACTATAGAAAGAGAAAGTTTAATCTACAAGCTGCAACAGTTGTACACCAAAACATAATCAAAAATACTCCAAGCCTGGTAGGAGATACGTGTACAAACTAGGACACTTCTACAAAAATGCTTTTTAGTAACCGTTTTAACAACAATGTAAAAAATTAGTAATTTACTTTTAAAGAAGTAAATATCGTCTCGTTATGGTATATCCACAAAGTAAATCAGAAATAAGATTTATCCAGTTGATTGATAGAAATTACTTATTGGCAGAACAAATGATGCAATTGACTCATTTATATGATAATAGAGAATACTTTTAAGAAACACCTGTGTATCTTTAAAGGCATATAGATTTTTTTGTGTTACATTGTATATTAATTCGAGAGCAAATGGAAAAGATTAAAATTATAAATTATAATACTCTATGTATGCACTTACATATCCAAAGAATATGCATTTTGAATACCTATTAATGAAGTATCCAAACATTCCAATACGTATGCTCGAGTGTATCCGATCTATTACAATATCCGATACCCATACGCCGACCTTAATAGAGTATCTGTGTTTTATAATTCCCACTTCCCAAGACAATCACTGACATATCCTATGGATAAATATTAGAGACAGCCTAATCTGACTTCTAAGTGACGTCTTTACGCTTCCAACAATACACTACAAACTATCTTAGCTTTGGGAACCATAACTAAGGTAAGAAAAAGATATATCTAAACTTCCTAGCTTAGGAAATAAATCTTTCCCATAGGTTTGGACTCACGCCCGGTTGTCTTAATTACATTCCAGGCATCACCTTGAAGCACAAAACACCCTCCAAGAGCTTAAATTCTAGTAACTTCCACCAAAAAGAAATTTTATGTTTCCCAAACACAAATGTCAGAAACAATATCCTATACTTTGTACTATTACTCATAAATTCAATCAAATGCTTCCATAACTCAGAACATATACATGACATAAGTATACCTCCAATTGGGTATCAAATTAAATTTTATGCCATGACAATTTAGTACATAACTAAATTGTTTACATATTGCACAATTTCTCAGATACGAGTTATTGTATTGCATGCAAGAGAAAGCTTCAATAAAAATAATCACAAGCCTTCTTGATATCCAGCCCTGAATTTTAACTCAGAATTTTAACAATTTAGTTCAGAGAATGTATGCACACTGGCAATACGAGCCCGCTCCACAATTTTCCTACTGTAGAAGAATACAATTATGCTTTCCTTGTCGTCATGACATTCAAGTTTCTTCCTACAATTTAAGAACTTAAAATGAATCAAGGCTATAATTCATCACACATGATTAGCTTTGCTTTGAGATTTCATTTCTGTGGCATTCTTTTTTCTTCCCTTCTCACACAGTTCTATTGAAATGGTAATCACACTCTCACTTTACAATTGTGCTGATCCAGTACTATCCAAAACAGACAACGGAATTAGAACTAATATTACTAGCTCTACTTACAAGGCCTCTAAAGCACGCAACCAAAACAACCAAAGTGTGTATGTTAAGAAGCAATACCTTCTTAATCCTCTCAAAAGCTCGCACAACGGCCTGCCAATTCTCTGGCTGAGTTTCCAAAACATTTCTAAACTCCGTTCTTGAACCCTCCCTCGCTTCGTGCCACTTGGATCTATACTCCACCCCATCCTCGCCCTCCACCCATCTCACCCTCTCCTCCGCCCTTGCCTTCACTCTCTTCCCATCATCCAACTTCACGGTCAAAACTCTCCCATGAAACTCCACACCATCGAACTCCACCGCCTTCATCGCGGCCTTCCCTGCCATTTGCCCTCCATATATAACAAACCCAAAACCCATATTCCTCTCAATATTATCATGACCCTTTATCAATATCACATTCTTTATTGGCCCGAATTGCCTAAAATACTCGGCAACCTCATGTTTCTTCACCCGCAACGGCAAATTCCCTACAAATATTTTTCCTTCTTGCCTGAAATCCTCAGTTTTTAGCCTTTTTTCTGAATCACCCGAAACCTGAACTTCATTTCCCTCGGAGAGCGTTTCTTGCGGTGATGCCGAGGGGGGTGGTGGTGGTGGTGGTGGTGGTGGAAAGTTTGCTTGTTAACCAGAGCTTGGTGGTGAGACTGTGCGGTGGCTGTGAAGTATTACTGGTGGTGGTTGGGGGATTATTACCAGGATGAATAAGGTTTTTAAGAGGATTTTTGGGGAATTTAGTGGTGGTTAAGGTGGGCTTAGAAGGTGGAATTTTTTGGGGTTTGTGAGTATTGGGGCGGCGGAGGTTGGTGGGGCTATCAGATTCCTGCGATGCTTTGAGGGAGCGAGTAAGGGGAGGGGTGGTGGTGGGGGTTCGGATTGAGGTGGCGGAGAAGGATGAAGTGTGAGAGCAGTATGCGGTGGAGGAGAGTGAAAACATATCCATTATTGGTTCATGGAGTAAAGATCGGCCAGTGGATTTCAAACCTTGGTAATTGGTATTTATAGAGGGTGGACCGTTATGTGGGACAAATTAGGACACGGGTCCATGAACACAAACTAGTTTTAAATATGGTTTTGGGTTAATTGCACTTCTGGTATTCAAAATATAGAATTTATCTTATTTTAATTATTAATATTTTAATTATATTATTATAATTTATAAAATATTAAATATATTTTTATATGATATCTCAAACAGACAACGTCTAAATTACTAACAATTTATTATCGTAAACTTGTCACGTGATGCCTAAACTATGTAATTTGAGTTTAGACATAATTTGACAAGTTTATGACCAAAAATCATTAATAATTTGGGTGTTATCTACTTGAGGGATAATATTTCAAGAATTAAAATAATACAATTAAAATATTAAAGACCAAAATAAAATAAATTCTATATTTTGAGGACATCTAATGCAATTAACTCTATAATGTTTTTTAAGAACTTAATATCAGTGCATAAGCAATATGAACTTTTATCAAGTTTTTTATAGTTAAAATTTGTTGATATATCATTTACCATTGACAATATAACTAATACATTTGATATTTTATGTGACGTAGTTAAGCACAAGTAGAACTTCTGTGGATGGTGTATCTAGTTCCTCTCTCTCTTTGTTTGGTGTTAGGTCGTGGACGCTTGTTACAATGTTGGGTATTGTGGATGTTGTCTAGTTTGTGGCAATTATGTCGGTGTTGTGTTAGTTGTGGCGAGTGTGGGTGTGGGGTGTTGTGTCCGCGGATGATGACAAAGATTGTGGTGCTTGTTGGGTGTTTGGCGTTATGGTGGTGGACGTGGCACATTGGTGGTGGTTTTGTGCATTTATGGGATTATTGGTGGTGGTGGTGGTGGTGTGATGGTGGAGATGGTACTCTTAAAGAAATTTGGGTATTGTGGTGATTAATTAAGGCTAATCGTAATTGATTAGGTCCCTGGAAGGAATTGGGTAATGGAGTGAATAATTAAGATTAATTCTAATTGGTTAGGACTCTTTTCATGGAAGGAATAACATAATTGATTTCAGCCTTTTTTTTTTTTTTTGTTAGCATTCTTAACGCCATTTGACGGAGGGTTTTAGATGCGTTGCAAATATCAATGGGTCTCCATGTCGCTTTTGAAATATCTTAGGGTTGTCATGCCATTTTACCAAAGGTCAATGGGGCTTTATGAAATTTACCCAAACTTCTTTTGCAAAATAAATGTTACTTGTATTTCTAAAAATTTAGCAATACATGCATTTAAAAATATTAGTAATGCACCACGTGGATTATGCGTGAAGAAATTTGTGACAATTTGTTTAAACCTCAACAAAAAACAAAAAGAATATGGATAAAAAATCAAATCAAATCTAATATTGAGAAAACTTGTAATTTGCAATATGTTATATAATAATAAAAACTCTGTAGTTTGAATCCAATTAAAAGAAAATATAAGAACAATTAAGTGATTAAGGTCTTCTTTGTCATTAAATCAATAATACACTTGAAAACATAAAGAATGCAATCCAAGGGCCTAAAATGCATAGGGTCATAGAGAAAGCATCGCACTTGATGGCGTAAAAAATCAAGGCACATTAGATGGAACAAATTGGATGAGTTATGCATGAAGTGCAATGAGTGCACGGGGGAAAAATGAATAAGAAAGCACAGCAGTGGTTCACACAACTGAAGAGTTGAGTTAGTTAACTACAATAGACACTATTGCTCTTTGAAGTGTACTGCTTGAGGGAAAAGAAGAGTATAATTGTTATCCTCTTAGGTAGCGTATGTACTCACCCTTTTATACACTGGTAATTATTATAATCTCTAACCGAATTGTTAGAGAATATTTGAGAAATATTTTATTTTTAGAGGCTATTTCTCCTTGGTGTGATGTGGACTTCTAGAAGCGTTGGCATGGCCTTCTAGAGGCAGTGTCTTCTTGCTCAATGCAGGATTTGCTTGTGAAGGCCCTTTTTTACTCCTTCCGGTGAATCTCGAGTTGTTGGTCGTCCTCGGGGTATTCATGGGTGACCTGTCTTCTTCTAGGTTAGCTCAACATATGATGGTCTAGAATACTATCTCGATCTGTCCTTAGTCCAAGCTGAACTTTTTATTTTGGTATTATAAATGGGCCCATTTGAACATAATACAAAGTAGTAAATTCAAACATGCTTCCAATCAATTTATTCAACCCAAGATACAACAAATAGTAACATGTATCTGAAGGTCCAATCAATCCATGAAGATAAGCTTTTCCTCTGTACTCACCAGTTGACAGTACAAAGTCAATTCATTTGGGTACTTCGGAACAAGATCAACTTGGTCCCAAGTTCCATTCACTAGATCAAAAACAAAGACCCCATAACTTTGCTGACCAATCAACTTTGACTCGTCCCGAACCCAGACTGATTGAATCAAGAAAGACGCTTTTTATGGTCTGTGGGTGTGAGTTGTGTGACCAGTTTGCTTTCTGTGCTAGTAAAAGGCAGTTCTATCATGTACAAACTTAGTCTGCGATTTGTGTCGGATAATATAAAAGTGATATAATATAGTAGTGTTGCTCCAAAATCTGTTGAAATCGACAGAAGAATTCTAATCGATAAACAATTTTCAGGCGATTGTTTGTGAGAAGTTCAAATACTTTGTTTCAAGACTTTCTTGGATGAATTTAATGGATAAACACATAGTACAGATAACTAATAAAAGAGAATTATTATATTAATTTAATCAAAAGGACTTCAGTTACCAAAAAAACTAAATAAACAATCTTGATTGTAGCAGTAACTGCTACTCCTAAAAATGCCCATATCATAGGTCTTCCAGGGGTTTGAATGTATCATTCATTTTCTCCATTACATATCTTTTTTATAGATATTGTATTTGACGGTTTTTGTTTTCATCGACGATTATTTGACTAGTAACTTCCCATTAGTTATTCTTCTTTTCAAATGTGATTATGACTGATTATCTTCCTGTCTTTCCTCAAATTCTATCACGTGGCCAGATGTCAATATAATATTCCTAAGTCCAATACCCTCTTCTTCAGTTCTTCCTCCGGATGTCCCTCCTGTTCTTTGCTTTTCTACGAGTCTTGGATATGTCATTCGGGAGTCAGTAGATCATAACATTCTGACACCCTCGGTGGATTCTGGTTGAAATTTTGCATTGGATCCTACCTTCAAACCAAGCATCTTTCAAGAACTTTTTGAGTTTTATCCTATTTCCAAAGAAAAAGTTCTGATTCTTTATCGTCCTTATCTGACTCTTTATTGTCTTTCGATGGAAAAAAAACTATCAAAAAAAAATAAAAAAATTAATTAATATTTGTTTATCATTAGATCAATGCTGAAATCAATCAAATTGATCTAATCTCTAATTAATCTGACGATGAAAATTAATGGAATAATTTAATTGAAATAAAATTGATAATTGATGGATTAAATTAAAAAAATTAAAATTTTAGGAATTACATTAAAACCCGAGAGAAAATTTAGGGGTCATTTATGATAACTACCCAAACAAATATTAATTTATTTTTTTATTCAATGGAGTGATGTCCTTTAGTTATTAGATATTCCTATCGGTCAATCATTTAGTTAAAAGACTTAGGATGTCTTTTAGGTAAAAGAGTTAGGTAGTGTATTAAACACGTCACTTGGTATGACGCTTATAAGTTAAAATTATAAGTTAAAAAAATTAAATGCGTCAGTCTGGTTGACATTTTTTAAGGAGTTAACTCGCTACTGTGCTGGGTTAAAGACGTTATTTGGAGTGATGTTTTTAGACAAAAAATGTTAGATCAACTAACGTTTTTAAGTTAAAAAACGTCATACTACCTCTCGTGTTTAAATTGCTTGGGTTTGAAAATTATTGGAAAATTTTTTTCAAAAAACCTGTGATGGATAAAAAGCTCTGTACGGTCTCACTTTAGTGTTGCTCAAAAAAGCCGCCAACATCAAACATTCCATTACCATTAAAAAAAATAAAAGTAAAAATATTATATTTTCTAAGGAAAATATTCAAAACAGTAGTTAATAAATCAATTTTACTATGATATGGCCCACAGATTTATTGACAAATTATTGGTCCTTAGTCAGAGAGTTCACAATGGCCAATTTAAATTATTAAATTTAGGGAAGACTGTAAATATCTTAAAGTTATAATGTTAAAAAATGATTATATCATACTTTTTTGAGAGTTTAATTTACAATTCAAAATGGTCAAAGTTACAATCAGTAGTGAAGTTACAGCGGGGCACCATGCAATTTTTTTTTTTTAAAAGTAGAGGTTTTAAAATTGGAAATATTTATTTTTATTAGAATTAACTTAACAGGGTATTTATTCTGATTATTTAAATGGACTACGTAATTTTATTTTATTTTCTGTGTTTTAATAGGAATAATTTTACGTGTTTCGCACCACCGATTGCAACTACCACCACCCACTGCTACCGTCCACCACTATCATCATCTCTTTTTTATATTTATTACTACTATCGCTATCATCCCACCACCACCGTCACTCACTGTCACCACCGCCATTCGCCACCACCCTCAAGCAACAG